ATAGGCCTCATTGGCCAGCCGTCGGACGTACGACTCGTCGACCGTCAGTAGAATATTCTCGGGTTTAATATCGGTGTGAATTATCTTACATTTGGTGTGCAAATACTCCAACCCTTGCAAAACCTGCATTCAAATCATACAAATTAACACTTGTTTTCGCGCAATTCATGGCTTAATTACTTGTTTTATGATTCGCTTAACGTTTATGAGAGGTATTCCGTCATAATTAGATCGGATAATGAGTTTCAATAGATTACAGCCCAACACCTCAAACACCATACAAACGTCTGCAAAATAATGGTTTATAATTATGTTCACAATTAAGCCAATGTCTGGACACCACTTACGGTTGCCGTTCACTCCACTCAGTTTGAAGTCATCCAAGAGCCGCACCACACGGTGTCCGTAGGGATCCTCTGAATCGCTTTCCCGTACCTTAAGTTCAATACAACAAAAATCAATATCATTTGAAAGACAATTGTTTGACAAAAAATATGTGCAATTCTATGAGTTTGTGTCGAAATGCTTACACTTTTAAGTAATTTGATTTCATCGACGGCTGTCTCCGTATAATGTGATGCACTCTTCACACACTTGAGGGCAACGAAGCGGCGGTCGCTATGGAGTGGAGAGAAAGAGATGGTAATTGTTTGGAGGAATGAGAGGGTGAGAGGGATGGAGAGTCGAAACATACGTGAGATCCCAAGAGAGCCAAACGGTGGAGAAGTGTCCCCATCCGAGCTTTCGGGCGACACAATAGCGGTTGTTGAAGACGTCGCCGATCTTCACGGGATGGTAACCTCCCTTCACGTAGTCGTTGGGGTCTTCCTGTTCGTCGTCATCGGATCCAATCAGCTCTTCGTCGTCCTCTTCTTCGCACGCATTCAATGAATGCCTTTTGTTGTCCTTTCGATGGCTTTTCATGATTAGTGTCTCATTTGTATTGACACTCATTTCTATCGCAATTCAAATCATATTTATTATTAACAAAACATTACAACTAAATGCAAATCGCGTCCAAAGCAAACCCAATACAGCAAAACCTGTACACAAGACACACAACGCATGCGCGCCAATACATGCGCTCATACGGCACACAATATGATATACAGTTACTACTCGATTATAACTAACCATTTATAAAGTAATACACGTTTATTAACATTATTGGTGCAAAATGGACAGTAAACCGATCGGTTTGGTTAGCGTTACATAACTGTCTGTACAAAACCTCGAACTTGGGTCGCGTGACCAGTGGAGCCACACATTACACTATATATGATTCATAGAAATTATTATTGATTTTCAAATATTGATTAATTCTTTTAAAAATTATTTACTTGAATAAAACAAATAAAAATTTCTAATTATATTAATTGAATATGCATTTATTAAAAGTCAGTTTAATAAAATTATTTAGATTTTGCTGTTTATTTATTGAGAACCTAATATAAGGCATTACCCGATATAAGTTTAGTATTTGTATTAACCATAAAATAGTGTTATATGCGGTTATACTGTATGACTACATTATTGTGAGCCCTTATTTGACTCTCAAACCCCTTCGTGTTTGTGGACGTAATATATGTCAAAGGGGTCAGTAATGTGGCCCCCATTTGATAAGATTGCCACAAAAATAATGAGACCGGTTGATAGTTGGCCATGAATGTAGCATGCTCATTCCTACTAATTGATGCTCATTTATAGTGATTTGCGGTCCATTCGGCCAATGATTGGGTGACTTTGCAATTGAATGACTGCATCGAGTATTGCATTGAGTAATGCATTGATTGGCAAACATATGCCACGTGTTGT